AAAAAAACCCCATAAAACCAAATTAAAAGCCAAATATTGGAAGCTGTGTGTCAATTAAAATTTTCTTAAAATCATCCCTACCTAAAATCCTCCCTAGGTCAGGCCCGCTTGCTGGAAAAGCCATGTCTTGAGGGCGCGGCGGAAAGTAAGGAGATCCGGAATCATCCGGATCTCGGGGGGTAGTTCGTTCCAGAGGGGGACAGATGATACAGCTGTTCAGTGAGTAACTGAGGTTGTTAAGTTAGTAACACGGTTGTTAAGTGAATCTGGCTTCCCCGTTGACTTTGCCTGTCAGATGGTTTCACAAAAGGGAATCACGTAACCTCACGCACCGCAACCGTCATAAATGTGAACCAGTTGCCAGGCATCCAAATTTTGATCATGATGCTCTAACGGGGGATATGTCACTTTCTTTTCAGTGCCGTTGTAACTTTGGACGGTTGCTAATTGAATGGTTGTAACTTGAGGACTATTTGTACTATAAATAGGCCAGTGAAGAATGGAGTCCTGCAGGTGCTTACAACAGTGTGTGTGTGGGGGGGGGGGCTGCCCTTCAAGAGCATTCAGAAGTGGTGCAAAACGCAGTGCCACAGGCAGTTATGTGCGCTTCAAGAACTGCACACGTTACACCTCTACTTTATGAACCGCGTGGGTTATTTACTCCCAAGGCCGAAGTCCTCCTACCATCTTGGACAAACGGCTGCTCAATCTTTCCCTTGAAAATCCTCAGTGATGGAGGAAGCACAACTCCGGGAGGCAAGCCATTCCACTGTGCCAGGGACTTTCTTTTTTTTTTTTTTAAAGAAGCTGCTATTGGTGGTTGTTTTTATCCCACCTTTTAAAATACATCTGAAGATAGCAAACATACCGAATCCTCCTGCCTCTTTTCCCATAGCAACGACAACCACCACCCGGTGAGGACTGACCCAAAGTCACCCAGAGGGTTTTCATGCTAGGAGAGGCCGAGAACTCGCCTTCTCTTGCTTTCTAGGTCAGCGCCTTCGCCCCGACTCCAAACTGGCTTCCCGATTCTGCAATTCTAGATACCGGTAATTGCCATGTCCACAAGTGGCCCTTTATGAGCTCTTGAATAGCACTGTGCAATCCCCATACCTGAGACGTTGCCTGGGCAGGCAGAAGGGAAAAAAATCAACTTCCACTGAAGAAGCAAGAGCAGTCAAAACCTGATGGGCACATTTATTAATTTGCTGCCCTTATATGCTCCCCCACTAAATCATCAGAGGGGGCCAGGAATCAATCTCTTTCCCTTCCTCCCTCCCCTCCGTTTCCTCCCTCCGTCTTCCCCACCTTTATTATTTTTATAAATAACTCAAGGCAACAAACATACATAAATACTCCTTCCTCTTCCTATTTTCCCCACAACAACCCTGTGAGACGGTCACCCAGCCAGTTTTCATGCCTAAGGCGGGACTAGAACTCCCTGTCTCCTGGTGACTGGCCCAAAGTCACCCAGCTGGCTCTCATGCCTAAGGCGGGACTAGAACTCACCCTCTCATGATTTCTAACCTGGCGCTTTGACCACAACCACAGTGGCTCTCTACAGTATTCTTCTGTAAACCCATAAACAAAGCATGGTTGTTGTGGAGAAAATGGATGGAATGTAGAGGTATGTTTGCTTGAGGTATATATTTATTTATTAAATTTATATGCCACCCATCTCACATTGAAAGTGACTATATAAAAAAGGTGGGACATAAATAATAATAATTGACATTGATAAAATCCCCAGGAGGAAATTGCAGAAGAACTTGGAAGTGTTTCCATCTTTTAGCGCCACCAAGGAACAACGTCTGCCTATGCCAGGTCCTTAGAAAGGACTCGGGTGGTAGATAAAAATGCCAAATGCCAATTTAAACATCTGGCTGACTATGTGAGCAACCATAATAATAATCTGGATACATCAGAACAGAAGAGAAAAATCTGGAAAAGATAACAAAATACAAAGTCCTGCAAGCAAAGGTAGTCCCAATAGCCCAATTGTAATAGGTGCCTTGGGTACCATCCCAAAACATCTGGAACACCATTTGAATCCACTGGCATTGACAAAATTCTCATCAATGAATTGTAAAAGGAAGTTTGACTTGGCAGGGCTTACATCTTGCAATCAAATCTGTAATATAATTCTTTATTGGCCAAGTGTGATTGGACACATAAGGAATTTGTCTGTGGTGCATAACCTCTCAGTGTATATGCAAGCAACAAGTGATAAATCATGATCATAATCATAAAATACAATCATAAATCATAAGATTAGGCAAAACCTGGCTCAAAAACAGTAACTGTGAGAGGGACCTTGGAGTCCTAGTGTACGATCACTTAAACATGAGCCAGCCATGTGCAGCAGCAGCCAAAAGCTAATACAATCCTAAAGAGAGGCATAGAATCAAAATCACGTGAAATATTAGTACCACTTTGTATACTTAGTAAGGCCACACCTGGAATACTGCATCCAGTTTTGATCAACATACTGTTAAAAAGATGTTGAGACTTCGGAAAAAGTGCAAAGAAGAGCAACTAAGATGATTAAAGGTCTGGAGACTAAAACATATGAAGAACAGTTACAGGATTTGGATATGGCCAGTCTAGAGAAAAGAAGGACTAGGGGTGACATGATAGCAGTATTCCAATATTTGAGGGGCTGCCACAAAGAAGAGGGGGGTCATCCTATTCCCCAAAGCACCTGAAGGCCAGACAAGAAACAATGGATGGAAACTAATCAAGGAGAGAAGCAACCTGAAATTAAGGAGAAACTTCCTAACAGCAAGGACAATTAACCAGTGGAATAGCTTCCCTCCAGAAGTTGTAGGTATTTCATCACTCAAAGTTTTTAAGAAGAGAGATGGAAATGTAGCCATATTTTCTCTTTCACTTTTAGAGTTAGTTGATGCTGGGAGGGGGGATGTGGATGAGAGTTCAGTTAGTCATAACAATAATAACTCAGCCATGGGAATCCAAGGTTATTGCGCCCAGAGTTGATAAAGATTTGGTGGGCTGGAGAGCTGGGGAAAAAGCCCTTGCTTCAAGCTAATTGGGGAATGTGATTTATGACAGTTAATTGGAGGAGGGAATTGTGCTTTGCTACTTTGTGCTCAGGGGAGGGGAATTCAGTTTTTGGCTTCAACTATGTAGTACTGATACTTTGTTTCTCGAATAAAAGATTCTTTAAGGTAAACAATGCCTCAAAGTTCTTTTGAAGAGTTTCATCTGTTGGAACCATGAGATAGGGACGTGGTGGCGAACCTATGGCAGGTGTGCCACAGGTGGCACACAGAGCCCTCTCTGTGGGCACGCACACCATCACTCCAGTCCTAGGCCTTCAGCTGGGTTTGTATAAAACCTTTTCACTTTAGGCCTCCACCATCATGTGCAAAAAAAAAAAAAAAAGGTTCAATCAATCAATTTCAACTTGAGGGGAAAAAAAAAGATCTTGCAAAGTTGGAATTGATTGGTTGAATTTTTTAGTCCCACCCAGTCTGGCATTACCACGGCAGCCATGCCCACTCAATGGGCCACATCCACCCAATTGGCCACACCCAGCCAATGAGCCACGCCCACCTGGCACCCAACATACATGTGGGTTTTGGGTTGCAGTTTGGACACTCAGTCTCTAAAAGGTTCACCATCACTGACATAGGGTCTCCTGCTTGAGCAGAGAATTGGACTAGAAGACTTCCAAGATCCCTTCCAGCTCTATTCTGATTGATTGATTGATAAGATACAAACTCAGTGATAATCATAGGATATTAATTAAGCAAACAAGATGAATCATAATAGGATACTAAATAAAGGCAATCAACAAAGTCAGTGATTGTTAGTAAACAATAATATCTGCCTATCCCAGGTCCTTGGGAAGGACTTGATAGTAGATTAAAAATGCCAAGCCCAGTCTAAATATCTGACTGATGGTGCAAGTAACCATAATACAGTAATACTATCAGCATTGACAAAATCCTCCTTGGTCAATTGCAAAAGGCAGCTGTGCTTGGAACAGTTTACATCCTGCGGATGAGACCTTTAATATTATTAAATAATAACATCTGTCTATCTCAGGTCTTTGGGAAGAACTCCAGAGCTGGAAAAAATGCCCAAACCGGTCTAAACATCTGGCTGACCGTGCAATGATCCATAATAAGCTTACATCCTGGGATGAGACCACTAATACCATCAAAAACCTGCTTCTCCCAGGTCCTTGGGAAAGACTAGGTGGATAAAAATGCCAAATCCAGTCTAAACATCTGGCTGACCAATCACAATATTATAATACTATCAGTACTGACAAATTCACCATCATTGCAAAAGGTAGCTGTACTTGGAGCAACTTATGTTCTGCTTATGGTACTTTTAATATTACTATAACATCTGCCTCTCCCAGGTGCTGAGGAAGCACTCCAGAGGTGGATAAAAATGCCAAATCCAGTCTAAACATCTGGCTGACAGTGCAACCCACCAAAATATAATACTATCAGTATTGACAAATTCACCAATAGTTAATTGCAAAAGGCAGCTGTATTCGGAACATCTTACGTTCTGTAACCAAATATTTATATTTATTATAACATCTGCCTCTCATAGGTCCTGGGGAAGCACTCCAGAGGTGGACAAAAATGCCAAATCCAGCCTGAACATCTGGCTATGTGACCATCCACGATAACAATAATAAGCTCACATCCTGGCATGAGACTTTTAACCCCATCAAAAATCCACATCTATCCCCAGGTTCCTTGGGAAGGACTCCAGAGGTGGATAAAAATGTCAATGTAAACCTCTGGCTGAGTGTGGGGCCAACCACCACCATCATCATCATCATAAACAGAATCGCCCTTAATCCATTATCAAAGGCAACTCGACTTGTGACCGGTTGCAACCTGATGATGATGAGACCCTGGACCCCCCACCAAGCACCCACATCTGCCCCTCCCCAGCTGCTCCAGAGGTGGATAAAAAAAGGCCCAACCCAGCCTCAACATCTGGCTGGCTGGCCCACCAACCACCCTAACAACTCGAGGCCCTGAGGCCTGGGGGCCAGAAGGTCGCTGCGGGGTCCAGGAGCAACCAGGGTCTCCATCGCTGGAGGTTTCTGGACAAGCCATCGAGCTGGGATATGTGGCCCTTGGCCGGAGAGCCCGACTAGATGACCTCCAAGGTACCCTGGGGCTCTGTGTTCTATGGAGAACTGGGTAGGGGCGGCTTCCCCATCGCCCCGCCGGGGCCCTTGGGGACCGCAGACCCCCCCCCCCATGTCTCCTTGGGAGGCGCGGCCTTCGCCTCCTCCTGCTTGGGAAGCGCCCCGAAGAGCCAGGCGGGGAAAGGCCGCGGGGCCTCCGGACAAAGAGGCGGGTTGCCGAAGGAGGCGGAAGCCCACCGGGGGCGCCCATGGGCCTCTCCCCGCCCCGCCCCGCCCCCCCGGGAGGCGCCGTCCTCACCTGGGCTGCCCTCCGTCCCTCGGAGCCCCTCGGCGCTCCATGAAGATCGGCGCATGCGCACCGCGACGCTCGCCCGCCTTCCTCACTCCCACAACTTCCGCCTTCTTCCCTCATCGCCAGCGGGGCCCGACGGGGGAGCGGAAGCCACACACACACACAAGCCCCGCCTCT